GCCGTGGATGTGGAGTTGGAATTTATGCAAGCTTGAGCTGGGGTTAGTGGAGCACCTTGCGGGACAAAGAGACGAGGTTGAAAACGACGAAAGAGGGGCAAGACGTAATGGCCCCACGAAGAAGCTTCGTTTTGTTTTTCTTTTATTTACTTGTATGTTTTGTGTCGGCGGATTTCATTCCCGTGTCAGGCTCACAGGCCCAGACACGTGGCAGCGGTATCGGCGCGCAGGAAAGGGAGCGGGCGTGGCGGCGGTGGTAGGAGTGGTTGAAGACGTGTGAGGGGGCAACTACTCTCATTCTGCTGTGGGGGGCATTTTTCTGCCAAAAACGCGGGGGCGGCTGGGACCCATGGCACCTATGACGGCTCTCTGGACTGCGCAGCGTGCTCGCCGACTGTTTTTTTTTTTTTGAGAAGGGAAATGTATGTACAGTGGGCGCCCAACGCGGCTTGCGCTGCAGACGGTTTAAGCTAGCAAGTTGCTACTGTGCGCCTGCGTGTACTTCGATGGCAACCTGCTTGTTTCTGCTAATACTACCTCGCCTGGACTTTGTGCCTCTTATTTGTCTTGTCTTTGCTGAATTCTCACAGGTGTCCCGCGCACTTACACACCACGTCCCATGAATCGCCATCACTGACGGCCGGCCTGTTGCTGGCCTGGTGTTTGTTGGTGGGTGCTGTTCTCTCCACAAAAGTCGAGGTGCAGCCAGTGTAAGAGCAGCAGGGCAGCCAGACGCGAGCCCCGCCGGGGCGACGTGCGCGCTTTTTTCCGCGGGAACGAGGGGCCGGCTGGGGACGCGTTCTGCATCCACGCGGCCGCGGAGAACTTGGAGGCCGCAGCACGAATTCTTCGCACAGCCGAACTGCAGAGTCACAAAACAAACAGAAAGAACATTGGCGGGATGGAAACTACGTGCGAGGCGGGGAAGCCACAGTCGATGAAAGGCGGTTTGTCTTGAGGAACCATTATTTTCTCCGTTGCGTGGGCCTTTCTGGTGGGTATGCGGTCTCCTGCCACGCTCCCCCTCTTTTCCCGACTTTGAGTGGTTGTGTCTGTACGTGCCACCCGAAGAGCCGTTGCATGTGTCAGTTCTCCCTCCGTTGCGTGTTTCAGTTTTCTTAAAGAGGTTGTGCTCCGTTGCGTGTTTTTTTTCTTTGGAGTGTTTTCGGTTTGCGTCGATGGGGGCCCTTTTTTCCTGTTACTATTTTGGCAGCTGCGTTGCCACGTGGGTGCGGGGCGACAGATGCCGCCTTCACGCTCTCTCGCTGAGTGGCGGGGGCGGTCGCTCATTCTTGAGCAGCTGCGCGTGTTTCTTTCTTACTTCCTACGGCAGGGGAGGCAACTCTCATAGCCGGTGGCGCGCCGGTTGACAGCACTAACCTCAACAGGGATATCCACAGATGTGTCACCGCGGCGCAACTTGAACTGCTGTTTTTTTTCTTTTTCTTTCACAGGCGGGGAACGCCGTGTAATGCTCGTGTCCTTCACTGCGCCTGTAGTTCCCGTCATTTGTCTTGGCTTTAAGGGTTGCGGCCTGCAGCCGCCATCGGGGGTTTATTCACTCCGCTTTTCCTTATTTGTATGACATGCTCTCGACAGGCACTGGGGAGCGATGACCGCGGCAAGGATGATGGTAGCGTTGCAACCCACTGTGTGCGATGACGGTACCTACCGTTACTTTGCTGCGTTTCTCTCCCAACTCTCTTACGTGCACACAAAGAAAGAGAGCAAACACTATTCGCTACTGTGCACATTGAAAGCCCAAAGTTACCACCAGTGACACACACACCGCCCAGGCGCATATATATACGCTCGAGTGTTATTGCTGTCAAGTTTCAACCGCGCACACAACCGTCGCGGCCTGACCCGAACCAGCACGCGGAGGGAAGGAACTGAGCAGCGGCCGCCCAAAAATGTCGCGGCCCCCGCTTTACTCTGCGGCGCTGCTGCTTTTGTTCGCGCTGATATGCAGCAGCAGCTGGGCCGTGCTCGCCGAGGCGAACGTGGGCAGCTCGATCTCAGGAACAGCAGGAGGCTCTCCTGGGGCGGCGCCAGCTGCGTCTCTGAGGTTACCCGTCACCTCAATCACCGTTCCGTCCGTTGTTGAGGTGGATGGTGAGGTGGTCATCATCGCGCAAGCCAACGACGAGGATGATAATAAAGCACTCCTGGCAGAGCTCGTTAAATCGGTTGCATCGCGTGCGCTCTGGGCACTCCCCGACTCTGATGGGAAGAACTCAGTGATGCAAGATGTCGTCAAGATGCCGCGTGACGTGGCGGAGGCGGGCTTCTACAACCCCACGCCAGTTGTGAAGGGCAGTAAGATCTATCTTCTTTTCCAGAGTGAGGGGAATTCTGCGGGGGGTGGGGAAGGTGCCATTCCGATGTACCCCTGGCTCCTTGTTGGAAAAATTGAGGAAAAGAAGGAAGGCCAGGAAACTAAAACCATCAGTTGGGAGGCTCCCACCTTTAAGTCTGGGCTCAGTCCAACGCTGGAGGAGAAATCGTTTCAGTTTTTTTCTGTTGGCGGGGGCGCGGGGATTGTGACGAAGAACGGTACACTTGTATTTCCTGCAAAGGCAGTGACGAAGGAGGGCAAGGAGGTCTCGCTGATCATGTACTCCAGTGGTCCGGAGGAGGGTTGGAGGCTGTCGCAGGGGATGACAGCTGGGGACTGCGTGGATCCTGCCGTTGTGGAATGGGGGAGCGGGAAACTTTTGATGATGACTGCGTGTGAGGAGGGTCACCGCAAGGTGTACGAGTCGAGCGATATGGGGAAGACGTGGACGGAGGCGCTCGGGACACTCTCGCGCGTGTGGGGCAACTCACTTGAGCGTGAGGGATCTGGCGGTCAAAGTGGCTTCATCACCGCGACGATTGAAGAAAGGGACGTGATGCTCCTCACCCTGCCGGTGGCTTCGAACGACGGCGTAAGCGATCAACTCCATCTTTGGCTCACCGACGCCGCCCACATTGTGGATGTTGGGCCGATATCTGACGCAAATAAGCAGGTCGCCGGCAGTGCCCTGCTGCTCAAGGGCGGGAAGGAGTTGATCTCCTTGCAGGAGCTCCGTTCTCGGGAAGGGGATGGTGTGGGGATGTCTGAGGGCCTTTACCTTGCGAACCTGAGGGAGCAGCTGGAGCAGATAAAGAAAGTGGTGAAAACATGGAAAGATGTGGATGAACGTGTCAAGCAGGTGTGCCTTTCGACAGGGGTCCATGCGGCTGCCTCTCTTGGCGCGGGCTGCAGCGCCCCGGTGCCTACTGAAGGGCTGGTTGGGTATTTGTCTGGCTCTTTTGCTGACAGCCAATGGAAGGACGAGTACCTTGGGGTAAACGCCACAGTGCAGGGCGCAGCGGAGCGGGCTGAGCGCGGTGTGAAGTTCAGCGGAGGTGCCTCGGGGGCAAAGTGGCCAGTGAGCAAACAGGGGCAGCACCAACGCTATCACTTTGCGAGCCGTAACTTCACTCTTGTGGCGACGGTGACCATCGGCGAGGTTCCGACGCGCGACCGAAGCATTCCTCTGATGGGTGCGAGGCTGGGCGGCGAGGGTGAAGAGAGAATCCTGCTGGGAATTTCGTACATCGGGAACAGATGGGAGGTGGCGTTCAACGGCATGAAGAAGACAATGCAAGAGACGTATTGGAAACCCAACACACCGTACCAGGTGACACTCATGCTGCAGGACGGCAACAAGGGCTACGTGTACGTTGATGGGGTGCCACTGGCGACGGCCGAAACGAGTTCAACAACTGCGGCAGAGCTAGGCGAAGTCTCCCACTTCTATTTTGGCGGGAACGGGGACGGCGAGGAGGGCACAGACAGTGGTGAGCGCCAGCTGACTGTGGCAAACGTCCTTCTTTACAACCGCCTACTGCGTCCAGGAGAACTGCGAGGCCGTCTTTCTGAGGAATCGGAGGCCGGGTGGGATCGCGCGTCTTCGAAATCCGGTGGGGACTTTTTTGACGATGTTAAGAACGTTTTTTACGGGGCGATGAGGCGCAGCAACGGCGGTGACGGCTCTGCGTTCGAGAATGCGTCTCTGATGCTAATGCTTCTGCTTGGGCTGTGGGGCTATTTGGCTCTTTGCTGAGCCGAACGACGAGCATGGGCGAGCCAGTGCTGCCGCTGATTGAACACATGAGACGCCCAAGTAATTCTTTGCGTACCCGTGCGGCCCATTTTTTCTCTCCTTCTTTCTGTGAATGTGTGTGTTTTTTTTTCTTTGCCTTTGGGCCGCACCTTTTTGTTTGTTGTTTTTCTTTTTTTTTCTCTTGCTAATGGTTGTCTTGCTGCGCTCAGTCTCCGCACGGAGAAATGGACCTCCCCTCATGCCTTTATGCCGCTCCCACCCTCAGCCGTGTGGCTCTGCGTGCCCATCGGTTACGTACATGGAAGGGGCAGCGAAGCCGGGCAGCACGCGGCCGGGCCGAGTGGGATATAAACGGGGCGTGGGCGAGAGGAGGGCTCAATTGAGACGAAACTATCATTTTTTTTTTCTGCAGGTGAAATATACACTCAGCTTTGGGAAGCCACGCGCCGCCACACGACACACAGCGGCTTCTTTAATTCTTTTTGTTTGAGAGAAAAAAAGTAAGTGGAGAACGGAATGTGTTTTGCTTCTTTCTTCTTGGGGGGTTTGTGGGCCATTTGTGCATAATGGAGGAAGTTTTTTTCTTTTCTTTTCTTTCAATCTTTATTATTATTATTAACTCATTTCATCATGTTTTTTTCGTGTCGTGCCGCTGCTTGAACGGCGGCGCCATCACGAGCTCCGCCAGTCTTCTTCCTTCGTACTGTCCTGCAGGGCTGCCGTGCGCCTGGGCGCGCTCGCATGCCTTGTTTTTTCCCCTTTTAGTTGTGTACTACCTGCAGGCAGACACAAACAGAACCACTCGATATATTGCAGTGCAGGTGGATGCCCCTTTTGCAGTCGGTGACTGCAGTGCTGCGTTTGGTTGTTGC